GGCGAGCCGCATGTCTCCTGAATCCTGGGGTGCGGAGATCTCCGCCTAAATATAGCAGCAGCAGCAGCGCAGAGACACGTTATTCATCCATGGCACGTCATCATCGTCATCATTGTCATCTTGGTCGTCATCACTATCGTCATCATCGTTTTCATTATCGTAGTCATCATTATCGTCGTCATCATTATCGTCGTCATCATTATCGTCGTCATCGTTATCGTCATCTCGCAGTGGAGCAAAGGGCCGACAGAACGCGTGTTTCATCTACAGGTGCCACGAAGCAGACGAAATAGATACATTTAAATAAATAAAAATCATTTTACGCACCCTAACTCATTGTAAAAAAATATAAATGTCACCGTGAATTAAATTGGTTTGGGGGCGATACAGAGTTTAAGCCGAGGGAGGGTCGCGCGGCACGGAGACGGAGCGATGGAATCAGCTTCTGTGCAGGAGCGCCGTCACCCCCGACGTTGCATCACGAGGTCGCGAGCAGGTGGGGGGGGGGGTGCATGGGGGGTGCATGGGGGGCGATGTCCTGCAGAAAGGCCTTCATCCAGCAGTGGATCGATCGCGGCTGATGATACCGATATATCATCATTATTTTATTGTCACCGCGACGCGGATTAAATATCCCTCGTGATACCTTAAGACGTCATAACGAGGTGGTGGATAGGAGATGTTAACTACCTCGCCTGGTGTACAGGAAGTCGTGGGGTTCGAGTCCGACCCTGACGCCTGCTGCTGTATGTTTGGAGTTTGTGTGTCTCTCATCATCATCACGGTGGTTAGGAGATGTTGACTACCTCGCCTGGTATACAGGAGGTCGTGGGGTTCGATCCCGACCCTGACGCCTGCTGCTGCTGTATATTTGGAGTTTGCGGTGTCTCTCTCTCTCATCATCACGGTGGCTAGGAGATGTTAACAACCTCGCCTGGTGTACAGGAAGTCGTGGGTTCGAGCCCGACCCTGACGCCTGCTGCTGTATGTTTAGAGTTAGCGGTCTCTCTCTCTCTCTCTCATCATCACGGTGGCTATGAGATGTTAACTACCTCGCCTGGTGTACAGGAAGTCGTGGGTTCGAGCCCGACCCTGACGCCTGCTGCTGTATGTTTAGAGTTAGCGGTCTCTCTCTCTCTCTCGTCATCACGGTGGCTATGAGATGTTAACTACCTCGCCTGGTGTACAGGAAGTCGTGGGTTCGAGCCCGACCCTGACGCCTGCTGCTGTATGTTTAGAGTTAGCGGTGTCTCTCTCTCTCTCGTCATCACGGTGGCTAGGAGATGTTAACAACCTCGCCTGGTGTACAGGAAGTCGTGGGTTCGAGCCCGACCCTGACGCCTGCTGCTGTATGTTTAGAGTTAGCGGTCTCTCTCTCTCTCGTCATCACGGTGGCTAGGAGATGTTAACTACCTCGCCTGGTGTACAGGAAGTCGTGGGTTCGAGCCCGACCCTGACGCCTGCTGCTGTATATTTAGAGTTAGCGGTCTCTCTCTCTGCGGTCGCGTGGATTTTTCACCGTGTCCTCCGATTTCGTTCCCCTCCACATTTAGAATCAACATCAGCGCGATAAGCCGCTTCGTTGGCCTATCATTTGTGGCCAGGTCGCTTCTGAAAAAAAAGAGCTTCCGTAGCTGAGCGGGGCCTTATCTGGTAAAATAAAATAAAAACTATCTACAGTACTTTGATTGTAGTTCAAGATATGTTTGTTCTTTTTTTTCCAATGTCGGTGCTTAATACAAATTAACCACAACATTAAATTAGGCTTTGCAAGGAGTCTGAGCAAATGGAATCATGATGATGATGATGATGGGTCTTGGGTTTGCTAATAGCCGGGCAATTGTGACCTCTCCCCCGGAGGATATGGATCGCTGCTGCAAGGAGTCACTTTGCGAAGCCGTGCAGAGAGCCTGAGGGGGTCACAGTCTGTGAGACGGCGACGACGACGATGATGATGATAATGATATCTAAAAACAATTAAATTGAGTAATTGGAATAATTTAGATCGGATGATGTCCCTCTGCACTGGCTTCCAGATGAATGCCACAGGAATCTGGAGTGAGTGTGTGTGTGTGTTGTCGGGCGACCAGGTTCGATTCCCGCTCATGGCCAACACCAGTGACGATTATCTGAACTAATTATGGGCCTTCATAGGTGTTCGCTAACGGAGCTTGCCCCAACAGTCTGTAAAGGCTACACGGGGGATATTTGTCTTGCACTTACGAACATTTGACTTGCGAACTTCCAGAGATGCGAACAGACGTGTCCATATGTCATGTAGATGCCACATGAAGAACCAGTGGCATCTACATCTGCATAACATCAAGAGCCAGTGTCATCTACATCTGCAGAACATGAAGAACCAGTGGCGTATACATCTGCAGAACGTGAAGAACCAGTGGCATCTACATCTGCAGAACGTGAAGAACCAGTGGCATCTACATCTGCAGAACATGAAGAACCAGTGGCATCTATATTTACAAATTATACAACTTGTAAAGCCATTCCCCGTGTTTAGTGTACACGCCGTACAACACGTTGGGAATCTACAAGAGCAAATCTGGACTTATGAACAAATCAACTTACGAACAGACCTCTGGAGCCTAACTCGTGTGTAAGTAGGGGCGTCCCTGTACATACACATGCAGTCCTGCTATTTTGCTGCCTTTCCTAAGCTTGGGGATTGATATACTTATTCAATGTGAACTTATACTTGATCTATATCACGTATTTATTTTTAGTGATTTGATTTCGTTTCCTATACTTTACATGACCATAGTGTGTTTGTATTGTTTGTTGTTGTAACTTTCTACTGGACATCTGTGGGAAAAAAGAGCTTCATAGCTCATCGGATTTCTCCAGGATGAAAACTAAATTCTGATTCTGGTGTGAACTAGTATTAATTGTTATGATGGTGTCAATGTGTAGCTGGTAAGATGGGTAATTGATGATAATGACGATACTGCTGATGCTGATGATATTTATGATGATAAGTAGCTTAATAAATATCATCACTGCACACAACAGAATCACGACACGCAACATAACCAGTATGCTAACCCAACACATCATCGCTACACACACACAACACAAAGACAAAGATCCCCCGTATAGCCTTAACAGACTGTAGGGGGCAAGTGCTGTTAGCGAGCACCTGCGAAGGCCGGCACAGCACACGAGGGGGTGGGTGGCCAGCACCACTCTTGGCCGCCTTTGTCTCCCCAGTGGCGATGTTTACTACACACCGCACCAGGTACTCATTTGAGGCTGAGTCGACCTAGGGGGAGGCCCAGAACCGGTTCAGAAAATCCTCGCTGGTGTTGGTGGCCGTGAGCGGGAATTGAACTCGAGTCGCCGAGTTCGTAGCGCAGCTTAGCGCTAACCGCTGCGCCACCGCTCCCAACAATGTTACCACACACACACGGAATATCACTACACAACCATCTCTACCCACAACGGCACAAAGACGGCACAATCTCAATATATATTTTTTTTATGTATCTCCAAAACCATATACGTCACTCACCCATGTTTACTGTACACCTGTTTCGGCCCGTACCTGTACACGAAATTACCTGTCCAGATGACACGTATATCTCAGCTTTACCTGTATATGTCTTTACCTGCCTTGCCCATACCTGTTCAAAACACACCTGTATGGACCCGTACCACTTTCAACATTTACCGGCCCAGATTAAAATATGTCTCAGCTTTACCTGTATAAGTCGTTACCTGCCTTGTCCATACCTGTTCACAACACACCTGTGTGGACCCGCATCTCCAATAGCATTCACCTATCCATGCCATTCCTCTACCAGCACTTGCCTGTCCATGTCATAACTCTGTAAACACCTACACGTCCCCTGCCTCACCCCGACCAGCATTTACCTGTGCATATTATATTTTTCTTAGCCTTACCTGTATGAATATATTTCCCTACCCGAACCGTACCCGTCCGTAACATACCTGTTTGGGCCTGTATCTACATAATCATTTACCTGTCTCGCTAACATAACTCATTGAGTATTTACCTTTCCATATTATACTTGTCTCGGCCTCAATAGAATTAAATATCTTCACCTGGATTTGTCATAACCGTTCACTGCCTTAACTAGACCATCATTTACCTGCATGGGCCCGTGTCTCCGTAACAATTATTTACTTGCCTGCGTTAAATGTTCATCTGTACACGTGGCGTATGTATGCAGCACACCTGTGACTACCAGGTAAGGTCCCACTGAGCTATGTAGCCCGAGCTGGCCCACACATGATAGCTTAACAAAGTGGCTGTTCATCATCACGTGGAAATGTACAGCAGCCGCATAATCTAAACGCGTGACGTTGGTTCTAAATGTTGTGGAGGGGAAAATCGGAGGACCCGGAAAATAATCCACGCGACCACGGGGAGAGAGACACCACAAACTACAAATATACAGCAGCAGGCATCAGGGTCGGGATCGAACCCACGACCTCCTGTATACCAGGCGAGGTAGTTGACATCTCATAGCCACCGTGATGATGATGAGAGACGCAAACTCCAAATATACAGCTGCAGGTGTCACAGGGTCGGGATTGAACCCACGACCTCCTGTACACCAGGCGAGGTAGTTAACATCTCCTAGCCACCACGGGGAGAGAGACACGCAAACTCCAAATATACAGCAGCAGGTGTCACAGGGTCGGGATTGAACCCACGACCTCCTGTACACCAGGCGAGGTAGTTAACATCTCCTAGCCACCACGGGGATAGAGAGAGACACGCAAACTCCAAATATACAGCAGCAGGCGTCAGGGTCGGGATCGAACCCACGACATCCTGCATACCAGGCGAGGTAGTTAACATCTCCTAGCCACCGGTAACGTAGCCACCACAGCCCCTGCTAGAGAGACTGAGATAGTCTTGAGGCACACACAACCACTGCCTAAGTTTCGCTAACACCACCACCACAACCACCACCACAACCACCACCACAACCACCACCACCAACGCCGCCACCTACCTGTGCAGGTGAGAGCTCCAACCTTCCACTCGGTTCCCGACGCGTCTCCTTCGTCCACCTGCGAGACCGGTGTGCCGCTGAAGACTGAACAGGATTGGCAGCGGCCGCGGCTACCCCATCACCCTCCCCCTCCCCCCCACCCCCGCCCCTCGTTCAACCCCCCCCCCCCCCCCGCGGGAGGGGCTCCCGAGGCGGCTGTCCCAACCCGCCCCGCTATGGCTACGATGGTTCGCGCACGCGTGTGATGATGATGATGATGTTTGTGTGTCTGTGTGTGTTTGTGTGTGTCTGTCTGTGTGTGTCTGTCTGTGTTTGTGTATTAGGGCAGGTGTATCTGTGTGTGTGTGTCTGTGTGTGTGTGTCTGTGTGTGTGTCTCTGTGTGTGTGTTTGTGTGTGTGTCTGTGTGTGTCTATGTGTGTGTCAGTGTGTCTGTGTTTGTGTGTCAGTGTGTCTCTATGTGTGTCTGTGTGTGTCTATCTGTGTGTGTGTCTGTGTGTCTATGTGTGTGTGTGTCTGTGTGTGTGTGTGTCTGTCTGGTGGTCCCCCTCTTTAAGAAGGGGGACCGCACAGACTGTAACAACTGCAGGGGCATCTCACTCCTCAGTGTTCCGGGAAAGGTCCTGGCAAGGATTATTCAACATCGCCTTGCCAGGCACGCTGAGGAGAGGCTTGCGGAGCCCCAATGCGGTTTCAGGAAAGGGCGGTCCTGCATAGATGCCATATATTTCTGTCCGTCTGCTACAGCAGAGGTATAGGGAATTCCAGCAAAACCTATATATCTGCTTTATTGACCTGGTCAAGGCCTATGATACCATCAGTAGGCCTGGGCTCTGGGTTGTTCTTCGTGCTTTTGGAGTCCCTGACCCTCTGCTCACGATCATTCAGGACCTTCACGATGGTGAGCGTGCCCGGGTAAAACTACGTGGCCGAGCGTCAGAGCCATTCCCTATACACCTTGGGGTGCGACAGGGATGTCCTCTGGCTCCCACATTATTTAACATCTATTTTGACCACGTAGTTCGTGAAGCCTTCAATAGCTGTACCGGGGGAATCTCTATTTGGTACAGATATAATGGGAGGCTGATCGATGCCCGGGTGCGGTCAAGGGATGGCTCCCTATTGCTCAACCACGTTATGTATGCCAATGATTTGGTAATAGCTGCTCATTCAGAGGAGGAGTTGGAGACGCTGCTGCTGAGACTGGAGCATGCCACTAAGAGATGGGGCCTTACCATCAGCCCCACCAAAACTAAGCACCTGCCTGGGTATTTTGTACCATCGGAAACTCCACCCCCACAACTCCCAATCGGTGATGGGGCAGTTGTGGAGAGAGTTGAGAGTTTCCCATACCTGGGCAGTGTGCTTATGACCGGCTTCAGTTTAACAGCAGAGGTCTCACTCCGAATCAGTCGAGCGGCAATATCTTTTCATCGGTTGCGTAACGCTGTGTGGAAGCTACCTGGTCTGTCGCTCCGCACTAAGCTTCAGGTCTTCTCGGCCACGGTCATTCCCTCCTTTCTCTACGCTTGCGAAACGTGGACCCCCCTAATGGAACATCTTCGCCGGTTAGAAACATTTAGGCTAGCCTGCCTACGATCCATCCTGGGTTTAACCAGGCTGGATTGCGTGAGGAGCTCACAAATCTTTGAAAGATCTGGGCAAGGTCCCATCAGTGAGCTCCTCCGGCAGGCAAGGCTGCGTTGGCTGGGTCATGTAGCCCGCATGCCCAGCCACCGCATGCCGAAACAGCTTTTGTTCGGCCGGATCGAGGAGTCTAAACGGGCGCGGCACGGGCTAGAGAAGAGATGGAGTGATGTGGTACAGGAGGACGTGGAGCTGAGTGGACTTCCCGATGACTGGTAGCAGCGGTGTCAAGATCGGCCTCTGTGGAGGAGGCTCGTGAAGGACGCTGCTGCTGGGCAGTTGGAGGCAGTCGCCCTCCAACAACAACGGAGGGCGGAGGAGCGACGCTCACAACAACGAGCGGAGCGCCGGGTGGCTAAAGCACAGCAAGTTGGCACAGTAGGGGGGCACAGGTGGTGCATCGGCCACTCATCTCAGTCATCACAGTCAGTCGATCCGTGGCACCTGCTGGGTCTGTCCCGTGACCTCCTGCCTGCGGGCGTTCGACACTTCACGTGGCCTCAAGGTGCACCTAGCCTGGCACAGGCGCCGTGGTGACGTCGCCGCCACTAAGTGACGAATGGCGGTTGTTGTTGTTTGTCTGTGTGTACCTGGTGCGGTGTGTAAAACATTGCCACTGGGGAGACAAAGGCGTTCGGGCGTGGTGCTGGCCACCCACCCCCCTCGTGTGCCGTGCCGGCCTTCATAGGCGCTACTCGCTAACAGCACTTGCCCCTACAGTCTGTTAAGGCTACACGGGGGACCTTTGTCTTAATATATATCGCAGGTGCGACAGGTGGTAGGGTCCAATTTCAGCCGAGTTTTATTTGTGTGTTCCCGGTCTTAATGGGCCACTCACAGCTCGTCTGCAGCACCCACCACCAATTCCTGGATTAAGGCAGTGTGAGGCCTGCAACAAATGTTATAAAGGGCCCCTACATAATAAAAGACACGTAAATATTAAAACACTTACATCTTTTTTACTTGCACAGTGAAGTAATTGTAATTTATTTCATTTGCTATACAGCTCAGATAATACCACAAAAATCGCTAACCGTGAACACCCGGTCGTTTGTAAAAGTTCGAAGGCGGTATAGTACTATAGTAATAGAGCAAGTGCAGAATTACTGAAGCGGAATTGATAGCTTGAAAGCGTTTAGCGCTTTGAAAGTGCGGGGCCCATAGCTACTACATATGTAGCTATGTAGTAGCTACCAGTGACGTGCGGTGAGGTCAATAGCTGCAGAGGCACTGGCTAGTGTCAGAGCCACATTCACACGCTGAGGGGGCGTGGCCTTACGGAGTGAGGCAGATGTGATAGCTGCCTCCCCCTGGTGCTTTTTCACTGCAGTTTCATGACGAGACCAGCGAGCCTAAATAACTTTATACACATACGTGAAATAAGTTGCGTGGAGTATGGAAGGCGAGGACATGAAATGAAGGGGTCTACAAACATTACATTGGTGACGTACTGAGATAGTAACAGGAACGCGCTTATTTCCCGCGCTCCATCCAGTTACTGAGGGGTTGCGCAATCACAGGGGAGGCTGAGCTCGTCGCTGCCTCACCTCTCGTTTCTTCCGGTATTTGCAGCGGGGCTCCGCAAATTTGGCGATTTTGACTATAAAAACGATTGGAATCGTACAGAAATGACATTTATGACACAGATCAGTGGAAACATCTTCATATTTATTTGAGATTTCTTTTTTTTTACTTTTCGTAACAGCTATTTTCATTGGAGTATGACAGATGAGGCTCAAGCCTCCCCTGCCTCCTCTGACCGCACGTCTCCGGTAGCTACTTTTGACACGTGGATAATCCGGCACTGGTCACTGCCGTTGGCCGTGAGGGGGAATCGAACCCTCACCACCACAACTACGACGCTGGGTCGGCGTTGCGTGCCCGCTGCACCAACATTCGCGTGTTCACTGGGGGCGGTGACTCGCCCCATCGTTTCTTCTCGACAGCCCCCACCTCCCCCCCCCACCGAACCACCCAACATCCCCCGTAACGGCGGTGGAAATTCCACGTTCGTATGCCGGGCGCCGGGCCCGGTTTTCATCTCGCGTAAGCCGACGACATTGCACGGTTTAGTTTGAACGCGGCCGACGGTCCGATGCACGTACCGCTCTAATAGCAGTGATAATGATCCAAGATTGAATTTCTCATTTCCTGAGCAGTCCCAGACATGTTGTCAGCGGTCTCGTAATCATACGCGTCTCACTGTGCGCGCGCGTGCGCGTGTGTTTGTGTGTGCCTCAAGGCTATCTCAGTCTCTCTAGCAGGGGCTGTGGTGGCTACGTTACCGGCGACTAGGAGATGTTAACTACCTCGCCTGGTACGCAGGAGGTCGTGGGTTCGATCCCGACCCTGTGACGCCTGCTGCTGTATATTTGGAGTTTGCGTTACTCATCATCATCATCACCACGGTGGCTAGATGTTAACTACCTCGCCTGATACACAGGAGGTCGTGGGTTCGATCCCGACCCTGTGACACCTGCTGCTGTATATTTGGAGTTTGCGTGTCTCTCTCTCCCCATGGTCGCGTGCATTTTTATCTGGGCCCTCCGGTTTTTCCCCTCCACGTTTAGAATCAACATCACGCATATCCAAGGAGCGAGAGGCGGGTGATAACACAGAAGCCACAGTCGCTGTGCCTACAGCGAATAGATTGGTGATCAGGAAGGCAGGCGAGTGATGTGGTACAGGACGATGTGGAGCTGAGTGGACTTGCCGATGACTGGTACCAGCGGTGTCAAGATCGGCCTCTGTGGAGGAGGTTCGTGAAGGACGCTACTGGGCAGTTGGAGGCAGTCGCCCTCCAGCAACAACGGAGGGCGGAGGAGCGACGCTCACAACAACGAGCGGAGCGCCGGGTGGATAAAGCACAGCAAGTTGGCACAGTAGGGGGGCATAGGTGGTACATCGGCCACTCATCTCAGTCATCTCAGTCATCTTAGTCAGTCGACCCGTGGCACCTGCTGGGTCTGCCTCGTGACCTCCTGCCAGCGGGCGTTCGACACTTCACGTGGCCTCAACGTGCACCTAGCCTGGCACAGGCGCCGTGGTGACGTCGCCGCCACTAAGTGACGAATGGCGGTTGTTGTTGTTGTTTGTCTGTGTGTACCTGGTGCGGTGTGTAAAACATCGCCACTCGGGAGACAAAGGCGGCCGGGCGTGGTGCTGGCCACCCACCCACCCGTGTGCCGTGCCGGCCTTCATAGGGTGCTGCTACTGACTTGCCCCAACACTCTGTTGAGGCTATACGGGGCGGGGGGTGGGGGATATTTGTCTGTGTTTGGGAGGTCAACTCTAGGGGAGCGGTAGTGTAGAGGTTAGCGCTATACGCTGCGCTATGAACCCGGCCACCCGAATTGGATTCCCGTTCACAGCCTACAACACCCGTGACCAAGGCCGTAGCCAACATTGGGGGCGACCAAATCTTCCCCCA